ATCTTGTCCACATTAACAACTTAGGTAGATCGAAAAAGTGTCAAAGAAGAAAATGAAATGAATTTCCATTAATTTAAAAGACAAATTACCACTAACCGTGGCCATATTCAATGCTGACATTTTTTCGTGATCTATAAGAATCGCATTGCGGTTTCTGTTTATTTATTCGGTTCGTCGTTCTCATTTATGGCATATTCTTTTGATCTGTTTGTAATTGTTACGGATACGTTCGTCAGGTATGCTACCCAATTTGGCCCGTCGTATCTACAGTAAGAACCGACCGGATGTGTTTCATATCACATTGTTCCGCACCCGTATTTTACCACTCCACGCTTCGTCATCTAATGTAGCGCACTGCATGATTCCTATAAACTCATTCCTATTTCGCTTGTTTCCGACAAGGTTATCGATGAAGTCTGGTTGACTTCATTTAAAAAGTACGATTCTCTCTCTCATATGTTTGTAGTCGTTCATCTTGTCATCTTAAAACGTAGAAAAAAAACCTTCCAACTGTTATTATTATCTACTACATAATCTCGAACATTTCCTACCCCTTTTAGAGTAGCAAGCTTGGATTAGCCCATTCGTTTGTTAAGAGGCTCCAGGCACTCTTGATAAGTGAATGGTGGAACCCGAATCCTTACAGGTAGAACACAAGTACACCACCCGCCTAATTGGTCATCAGATCGTATTTCATTTTATCGGACCATAATTTATCGGAACCTATGTTTGCAAGCTTGTTTCGGGCATCGTCGTATCTCGATTATCGTGGCACTGATCAGCTACCAGTGGAGTTTATCGGCTTCCGACGCCCTATCGGTCAAATGCGAAAAAACGTAAGAATAAGGACCTCACACCACATACGGTGGAGCAAAGTGGAAACGTGATGAAATTTCTTTCCCGTATATGGGATCAGGCATCCACATATGTGTATAGTTGGATTAGTCAACTGGTGTTGAATTAATGAATAAACAAATCAATCTGTGTGTAAAATGTTCGGGGTCACGATAAACTGATAGGGAAAGCGGGGTAAAATATGTGAAGTGGACACGAAATTTATTAGTCAAGAGTGAATTGAACTGGTGTTATTCTTAGGTGTTTTTTTGTTAATTCTTCACTAATACCTCTCATATCTTGTCCACTTCAAATTTTACTCTGTTTTTCTCTGTCCATTTACCGTGACCCATTAACTTGCTGTCAACTGAGCTTTTTGCGCACACATCCATTCAACATCAGCTAAAGCATTGTATTGATCTGTTAACTAATCAAAATATATGGATACATTATATATTATACAATATTATATATATATATATCGCGTGAGCAATGTATATATATAAGTATGGGATATGAATGAACTGACAAGATTACCGGATACGCATGCCTGACGANTCATACACATACTACTTATTGTCATATATATATATATATATATTGCAAACCTCACTTGAAGCTCTGGGAGTGGATTTGAGACGAATAAGTCTAGAAGAACCATTGCGATGATTCCGTATTAGGCGTTGTTCGTTAGATGCGTCTATCCTCAGCTAACTGGACGCTTGGGCCGATTTTCACTATTTTTGTAATGAGTAGTATATGGATGACTGGAACAAATTTCCCGGAAGCATACTACCGGTTTCGCGGTCCTTGCCGCTCTTCAGATGTGTTTCCGGTGATCTGCCTGGTCATTCTTATACCTGATACAGATACCTGCTACAGAATAATTGCAATGATTCTTCGAGACTTGTTCGTCTCAAATCCACTCCCCGAGCTGCAAATGAGGTTTGCATTGTGTAATTCACATCGGGAGTGCAAGTATAAAAATTACCAGGCAGAAGATTACCTGATACGCATACCTGACGAGCGGCAAGGACCGTTGTGTACTTCTGGGAAATTTCGCTCAATCATTCATATACTACTAGTTATAACGATAGTTAATGTCAGTATCAGCGATTGTGTGTCCAAATCCCATCATCACCATATCTTTCCGACTTGTCAGCCGGGAATGTGCTACTGACCTCTACAACCGTGACACGCTGACCCATTCAAACACTTTTTGATAATTAGAATATTGGGTGATGAGAAAAAAAGTTTTTCCGTAAGTATATGCGTTTCGAGGCTCATCGACTGCACGTTACTGCTGTGTGCTCCTGATGCACCCATCAGATAGGCGTGCCTGGCGCTCTCATAGAACCATTTATCGGGCCGTTTTCTGCTGGATACTGTGGTGACCCGGGCCTACGAAATGATGCATTCCGAGTTCAGTGCGTATTTCTATTACTGCCACTACAATCACCACGGATACTCCGTTGTCCTATCATTCCAATTCGATCCTTTGTTTACCTGTTCATTGCTGGAAAGCTCATTCTCAAGCATGTTTCGTGTGTGTGTGTGTGTGTAAACACGTGCGGGGGAACTCCCTGTTTGCCTGATTGTTAGAAGCCGGAATTGTCAATACATTCATCTCGTTTGCACCTGCTTGTTCCCCCGCACTCATTCCATTCTTTTCCAACATGCTCACTCAGTTCACGACACAAGTGTACTAAATCGAACTTTGTGACCGCATACCTGGTTGTTTATGCACCCGCTAGAGGCATATATTACCCTATACCACTCATTCCTTACGCTTTTCAACCCAAAAAGTATATCCAGTATTTTTCACCTATATTCACGGTTCTGGGTTATTTTGGGAGATATTTATTCAATGGTTATTTTGTTTTCATTATTTAAAATTTCATATGTAGTGGAATCAGAAAATACCGGTAAGTTATTTTTCCCACGCGCACGTGTCCACTTAATTGAGTCCGTTTTGCCACCCATGTTGTGGACTACATCGACTGCGTTCATTGTCCCGACCTGTCCTTGGATTGATCTGCATGTGTGTAGATCAATCATCTACCCTTCCATTTGATTTGTCGGTGCATCACGCACTGAATTATGCATGATTCTCTCTCTCCACAACTCTACCTCGCCTCGATTTTTTGTTGTTTGTTCAAATCGTTGTCCATGATGTGTGCGTTGATGAGTGCTTCTTATCCGTAGGTAGTGTTTGTCCCAATCGTGTCCGTTTCGCCCGAGAGAGAGAGAGAGAGAGACAGATAGATAAGGAGAGCGAAAATAAACTGACAAACATCAATTCCCTGTCCGTGGTTCAGCACCGATCAGCGCTCAACATACATTCCACTTAGGTATGCGCTTCCCCTCCCTCTCCGCATATGTCTTCTCTCCCGCCAAATCTCATCGAATGTACAGAACAGTGATCGACTTTCGTTTCGCTTGTGCCCCATCCATGAACAGGATTTACATGAAGCTGCTGTGCTTGCTCCAATTCAGCAAAGTGATTCGAATAGTCCGTTGAGCTCTGACAATCCCATAAGAAGCAACTGAGATGCATTCGTCAGATGTTCTGTTCTAATTCGCCTTATTACAACGCCTCCAAATTAGCCTTCGTGTTCGTTTGCATGTGTGTGCGTGTGTAGCTGTGGCTGTTTACGAACGCTTCTCATTTGTGGGTTTGAAATTTATTGCAGTAGACGCTCTGTGAATTGAGAATTAGTCGTTCGAATATGTTTGTTTGCGATGATTCCATACCATGCATTTCTCATACGGTATGCCAAGACTTTCCGTAGACATTTTAGTTCCCTGTCGTATTACTGTTTGTATTGCTATTCTAGTTTCACATTTGATAATGCCTTCTGTCACCATCACACGTGAGTTCTTCTGTTCACGATTATTGTCTCGTCCCTATCTCTGAGGTAAGAATTGGATGCGCGCCAGTTGCAGTTGAAAATATTTGACTTCTGCACCAAGTCGCCGCGTGCTGAGACCCGTGTGTGCGCGTGTGTACGTTTGTGCTTGTTTGTTTGTTCACCCGTTCCCGGTCCGTTCTTCTGAGCTTCTGAATGTGAATGCAGCTCTTCACGCATGTCGTCACTGTGCCAGTGTTCAGATTGTTTGATCCTTACAACGATTGTTCCGATGTGGATCCGCTGTGATCGATCAGTTGCTACTGTGTTGTGTTTCACGAATCCATAATCGCACGTTTCCCTGCAAATAACCAAGACAGTTAATTCGCTTGTTTTCTGTTTGTCTTGTGAGCGAAATTTTCCCACTTTATTTTAGCAAGATTTGTTTGAGGATAGCGAACAGATCAGTGTGTGCGTTGGGTTGTTTTCCCTACTTGAATGAGCTGAAACGAAAATCAATTGACCATGCGTACTAATCCGATTATTTGGTATCGGCTAAATACCGTGCCCATGTTGATGACTAGATATTGTGAATCCGCACAGGAAGTATATTTGCCGCCTCGTCGAAATGTTGCATTATTTCTGTTTTTTGTGTTGAGTTTGGATAAAGGACAATGCTGCGGTTATGAATATGATACCACCGTTCGCTTGTGAGGTACTAATCGCATTTGTAAGTAGCTTGCGCGCACCAAGAAGCGGTTGTTGGATTCTTATGGCATCCGCAAATGGATTAAAAGGTTAACTGACGGTCAGGTTGGCGATCACCGGCGAAGAGATATTCACGAAAACACGAACTAGTTTTTGCATATTAGGTGCTTCGTTCTATATCATCTTGTTTATCCGATGCTGTTTTCTAAGTAAATAACTCTCCTCGTCCGGGTACTGGACTTACAGATTTATAACAGTAGGAATACTCAAGGGTTTTGTTACAAATGCTAAACTATTTGAATTTCGATTACTTCATTTTCTTCATTTACGCTTGCTTTCAGGTTCTAGTTTGCACGACCCTTCTGCCTGACTGATATCCGACACGGACGATACGTGCTCGTCTTCTGTTCTCCAATCTTATATTTGAGGTCCCTTTTGCTAACACAATTAGTGCCAGCGCGACGTTATGCTCTTCAGTGGTTGAAAAGTTTCACCCGCAGGCTCACCGTTTGTTGCTATTGGATCTGTTGAGCGTACGATTATGTATGTCTGCAGGTCATCTGACTTCTTGTTGCTTTGCTCTCCCCGCACCGACTTCCCTGTTTCTAGGAGCCACAGGGAATTCCAATTCCGGCCGCTTACAGTTCGATCTATTGTCTTTGGATCCTTTATTCTCGCCGAGGGCCACAGGCGGATCACATACTTGGGCAGTCCACGCAGAGCAAGCACAAATGGCAGAGAAAAGTTTGCTCTCGGTTTCGGGCATTGCTGATTCAATTCGCCGTTGCTCAAGTGCCATCCCTCCATCACCGGTCCCACCAGATAATGCAAATCGCACCGATAAGGCAGTTTGGGTACGTGCTCAGTTTTGTATTGATATACCAGACTAGAACTTATTCCTGGCAAACCAGTTTTACCCGCATGTTTGCCACTTATCTTCCGTATAGTTAAGTTCTGTTTAAGTATGAGCTAGTGCAGTTGTCAGTAAAATTCGACTCCCGAGTCAGTTGCTCAATCTTCAAACGTTGGAACGTCCAACAGGAGATGCATGTAATTTGACGGTGTAAATCTAAGGGTAGACGTCAACTGAGGTGGTAAAGGTCCCAGTGTTGAGTGGATCTTGGTGGTTGTTGTTGCTGTGTTTTCGGCTCCATAACTAAGTGTCGTGAACCGTTCGTTCATCCTAACGTTCTTCCCTGTCATGTGACGATTTGCTACTCCTTCTTTGCACCAAATCACTCATTGTGTAAATTGAACTCAGCATGTTCCATTTCTTGCGAAATCGGGCTATTTGTTTGGTTGTTACTGTAAAACACACGAATACCAATTTTGACACCTCTCGACCAAATATCAGTTTTGGGAAGAGATAGCCACACTAAAAAATGCATTCATGTGTTTGAGTGCTCGACCTATCTTGTGCATTTAATCGTTTGCAGTGGTCAAGGGTATCGACAAAATTAGACAGTTCTACGCGCATCCGTCACAGAATGGAATAAATGAAGAAAAAATACGAAGTCAATTTTTCCTGACTAGAGCTCCACGTCACCTGGATCTGATCGGACCTTACCCACAGTGATCGTTTTCAAACAAGAATCGTGTGATGCCTTGAAGAGTTAATAAAAAAGTGTGATCGTCTTGGAATGGCTCTTTGTACTCAATAAACATCATTATTATGGGACTGTTATTGCGTTTCAAAATGTTCCGGAATCACCCATTGGTCGTTTCTCGTTTTGTTCGTATTCGTTTCGAGCACCACTTTCAACACGAATTAAAGGTTTACGAATCAAACGATTTCCATGCCTGTTGCGATCGTGCAGGTGATATGTCCGCGTGCGATTCAACCTTCAGAATGCAGCCGTTCGTGTCGACCTAGCTCGAATGTGTTCATTTCGAAAAATTTTCATCAGTTGAACTGAATCAGAGATTGCTGAACTATGTAATAAATGTGGTGTTTAAAACGTGATATTGTATTTCTGGGAACCATAAAAGTCGGACGCCCCCAAACCCCTGAAAAAAAATGAGCGCACACTGTGGGCGAATTGAATTAACCTTCGGCTAATATCAACTTGAACAGAACAATTGGTATTGCAACCTAACCTTACTCAACATCGGGGAATGCAGTGGAGCACTGTACAGTGGCAGTTATGGTGTATACAAAACTCCGTCACTCTCATTCGCGCAACAGCTGTTGAAGGCAAAACAGTCCAACCGAATAATTAAGTACAAAATGATTTATACATTATGATGTCGAAAGTTTTAATTTAGTGTGAGGTGCTGTATTCTCCCATTGTTTTGACGAAACTGTCTTTATGTATCTTCATGAGATGATTGTCTCAGTGATAATTTTTTAGTTTCAAATTGACCAGACTTCATTCACACATGCAAACGTTCTTTATAAAATTTAGACACTTGGTACTGGTCCTGAAAAGTGAGCTGAAGGTGTTCTTGAAACCATGAGTAAATTGATCTTGTGTGAACAGATCCCGTGGGCTTTTTATGAAAATTTTAAAATAGGAGTTTTGGATGGCCGAACGGGTACCTTGTGATTTCACTGTTTAACGCAACAGCACCACCGTTTAACATTCATGCTGCTTTCCGATTCGGTACAACGTGCTATTGTCACATTGTATTTTGACGATTCCACCTTATTTTCAAAACAATTGGAGGTTCTCAGTTAAAATTTATACACATAAATAACTAATTGGAAAAGTGCTGAGTGATTAGGTTCTGGTTCAGAGTCAAGGTCAAAGTTTAATTGTGGGAATTACTCATAAACTAATGCTTCACTTGTCCCATAGGTTATTTACACAATGGAATCGGCGAAAAAAATCACATATAATTCCAGGTAGAAGATTATAGAGAATGTAAGCTTCAGTGAATTAGCGTTTACTTTAATGGTGTAGGAATGTGAGGTGTACCAAGGTTTCATGGAGTCTCCGCTCGAAAGATAGTTGGTGCGCAAACAACGTGAGATGGAAGGATGTTCCGAGTACTACATACTCTGACTGCCAAAGATCGGCACCGGCAATCCAGTCGACTCTTTGGAATCAATAACTTGAAACGGTGTCCCCAAAGGTGTAAGTATATTGTTTGATAACGTGAGCAGCTGCCGACATGGATGGTTTGGGTTCTGCAGTATTTGATACGTCAAAATCAAGTCTCTTCGAATTCGGCTGTACTGAACAAAATATACTCCCAATGATCGTGATCTCTCCTCATAGGTGAGGCAATGCAATCCCTTGACGATGTTGGTGGTCATCCTTTGTGGGTGCTCAGGCATCTTGCGATCACGTTACAACCATGGGCTCCAAGCTTCCATGGTGTACTCTGTTTACGGTCAAATGTACACTGATAGCAAACGTGGGAACAGTGCTAATTCAAACCGACCAAAGACTCGGCTTAGTAAGCCTACATTGTTCCCAGCAGCGAACGAAACCTTGGCGCAGTTGGTCGAGCAGCCTAAATCCTCTTTTTCACTTGAAGTATGTGGCAGCTTCTGATTTCCGAATCAGCATGAGAATCTCTTGTGGCGTACGGATAGGACTTTACATTTAGAAACATTGAATTCAATGTCGTTCTCCTTAGATCATTGATTAACTGCGTTAAGTGATTGTTGAAGTGTTAGGGGCCCTCAGATTTTGTTGCTGCATTGCGGATTTTGGTGTCGTCTGCAAACAGTCTTGTTTTCGGACCTAACACTTTTGGGGGATCATTTATGAATGGTTGGTTCAAGCCTCAACACAATCTGGCAGAGTTAATAAGTGAAGTATCAAACTGGTGTCACTGCACTCCATAGTTTGGGAATAATGCATTCCTAATTTCTACTTATATCGGAAGGCTTCTTTCTGTTTCTCCAGTTTCGGTTATGCAGTTGCTGCTGATTTGATATTTCTTTTAGAACCCTTGGGCAATCTAGAGATTACCGAATATACAAAAGAAGAAGTATCATTACGAACGATTTTAGGTGTGTGACTAGCCAAATTATGCTCCGTCAAAATAGATGACTGAATTATCTAAACCTGTTCCTGTTGGGACAGCGGAGCACAATGCGAACAAAATTCTCTATCTAAACTTAGCTTATTNTTATTGAACAATTCTCTATCTCTCTAAATGCGCTTTCGTTGTTCGATAATTTTCCCATCAGCGGAATAATCGAAAATCTGCGCCGTTATGTATAGCTACGACTTCCTTTGTTTACTGTGATATAATTACTTACAAAATGCTTACACAATGTTCAACTTAAGTTTAACGATCAGATTTATCGATAAACTGGTACTATAACCAGGGCCTATTCACTGGGCCTGCATTTCGTTTCGAAACACAGAAGCACAATGTAGTAGTAATAGTAGTAGCCAATGTATCAATGCAGTGAAAGCTTAGGGAGAAGTCAACACGCATTGCTCTGCTGTTCACAGGTTATACATCAGCTGAGATCATATAAAGTATATCATCTCACACCTTTGATAGGATATTCTACTCACCAGAGCTTTATATGTTGTTCATTTCTAACCCAGTCATGTGTTTGTGATTGGAGAACGAAACGCTCGACTGTTATTCTGTCTGTCTACCCATTTTCTTATTCCTGCTGATCAACGTAAATAGGCCACATTATCAGGTGATTGTCCTATTGCATTTATGAACATTGAACAACTAGGACCCTCTCCTATAGTGCTGTGGTTTCACTCCCTGCTGAAACAAATCACACTGTGAGCGTGATCGAGGTTCTTGGCAGATAAACAAGGCAAGCATTCTCGATCGGATGGTAGCCACAACAGAAGCGGATGCACAACCTCTACCTTGTTTGCCCAAAGACACAAGATAATCAGCTATAGACGTTTATTCCATGCCCATCAAGTGGATGGATTTGGCGGCTGACAAGGTTCTTTAAGCCAACTACATTCTCCTGTTGGTATTTCCAATGGTATAGGGTTTGAGCGCAAACACTTCATGATTGGTTATCTTTGTCACCTCCCCTTTCCAAATAAGGTCGTGAAAGATGCAACTTAACGAAATTTGAACTGTTGGAAGAACACGGAAAATAGTCCACGACTCGGAGACCTAAACGACATAATCAATTGTGGCATCAAAACCGTTAAAACCGCAATTAACGCAATAGCAATGATAACGGATTAGGTTATGGGAAGTCGACAATTTTCTTTTTCTGAGACCGCTGATATTCGCTTGTACGTTCTTGGATAACCCTCACACCTGATTTGCGTTTCAACCTTATTTACTGACATGTTTTTATCTGTTAAAATTTTATTATACCTTGCCCAAATCATCTTGTTATTCGGCGACAAAGTATGTCTAACCAAGATGTGTAACTCCATTTTGATTAAACAGTCGATTGCTTCTTTGATACGGCGACAATTACGTGGTCGGTAAAGTTTCCTACAGGTACCGGAATTCCATACTTTACTGGTGACTTGGATCAATTTTAGCTGTTGTTTAAACTACTCGAACAAGGAGACAAATGTATCGTAGGTTNTCGTAGGTTTTGACATAGCTATTTTACAAAACAGCGTATGTAATTTTTCGTCTATAATCATGGTATTACTCTGCTTGTGAAACCCAGATTTTTCTAAATAATGCTGTATCTGTTACTACTGATTCCTTCATCGCCACAGGAATTTGTACAAAGAAGTGCCTTCATGATCGTTTGATTTTCATGTTGGTTATTGCAGCTACCTTTCGATTCGGACACGGGCGCAGCTATGTGGACTATCCCGTCAAATTTGACTCCCAATACCAATTCCCCGTGGCCAAAAGAATCGGGCACCGCGTTCCTTCACTCTCAAAATAGTTTGACCACAGAAAGAAGGCAGTCGTCTGAATCTTCTACCCCCACACATTCTACACCTCTTGTCCATACAGACAGCAAAACCTCCGGCAAACAGGGTAGTGGTAG